GTTATTTCGCGCAGTGATTATCATACGTATAGCTAAATTATGCTGCATAATCATGATCGCAAAGCAATTAACATTTTTTCTTTTATCTATTAATGTATTAATCATATCATATATAGCTACCTTAACTACATTCACCATTGCAGGGAGGACATATTCCTGGTAAGTAAATTACATCCAGCAAACCATGGAGCAAAGAAAGCGGGCAGTTCTATCGAAAAATCGCTATCAGATTTGGGAGTTGAGTATTTGGATCTGTTTCTGATTCACTGGCCAGGACTTGATGGACGAAGTGCGGGCGATTCGAGGAATCAGAAAGCGAGGGAAGCAAGCTGGTTGGAACTGGAGAAATATTATGGTGAATAATAATAATATATATTAAAACGGAAGGGTCACACTGTTCATGGGCATATACTTTCGAAGCATGAGCTTTCTAGCTTTTCTGGTTCTCGAGTTGAAAGTGGGTGACAAAAAGTGCGAACACACAGACAGATTCTTGCCAATATGCGCTTTTTCATTTGCATATATGCGTATTAATAGGTACAAAATAAAATAATAATGCAGTTGTATAATATACTGTAACACTGGGAAAGTAGTAATAGTCGATACTTAATAAATGGAATATTGTGTTACTAGCTGTATTATTATAATCATTATAGAAATCTGGGTTAAATGTGATTTGCAGTTTGGTTGGAAGACCAATTACTTACTCATTTTTGTACTCAGTTATTTAATATGTAAGATGCCTACTTCTTCTAGAAGAGAGCATTACAAGATTAATGCACTAATTTACAATGCTTTTGAAGGGAAGTCCACAGAGCGAGGCTAGGTCGCAAATATTTCTATAAAATTTGTTTTCAGGCACTGGTAAACTTCGAGCAATTGGTATTTCTAATTACACAATCGACCATGTAAAAGAATTACTTCAGAAAGCATCAGTTTTGCCAGCTGTTAATCAATGCGAATTCCATCCGCATTACGCTCAGAAAGAACTAGTTAAATTCTGCAAAGACAATGGTATCATATTTCAGGTACCAGTTACTTTCTGGTTTAAACGCCTGGTGTCACATGATAAGATTAATCCTTCCTCTCGAAAACAGTCCTCTACCGGGAGGGAATCGAACCACTCCTCTTTATCTCTGGACGCAATGTGTTACCACCACACCACCAGTCCTTGTGTTCCAGGCTCAGCCTGGCAGCACATCTACTGCGTATCTGTCTTTCGAGGTAATATCCACCTTCTTTTTCCTCTCTTTTTCTTTGTGGTGATTTTTTTTTGGTCGGCTTTTTGCGGGTTTTCTGCTACAGGCGATGCAGCATTGGTCAAGTGCCAGATATTTGCCCGGTGATTTTTCTGCTACCATGTGACAGTGTTAATCAGTAGGCAATGCATGATTGATGAAAATAACCGGAACAGTTGTTACCTCTATAACTGGGGAACTAGCTTATGAATTACAGTTGATCGATCTACTTCGAATATCCCATAAATATTCAGTTACTGGCTGAACTGCTGCGGCTTAAGTGCCTCGTGAAAATCTGATACTTGTTTTTTTTTGCGTCAAAAGAGCTTGTAGTACGCGCTATATCTGATGAACTGGAGAATTCAGCATAGCATGAGTGGTACCTCTGCTTAGACGTAAATATCACGTGAAAATTCGATAATTGCCGTGAGTGTTTTTGATAGGCTATATGTGATGAGCTGAAGAAATTAATATATTAGTGAACGAAACCTGTTTTCAAGCTTGAGCACGGAATTTAGTAATAAAGTTATCGCATTACATACCAAAAAAGATGGATGGTACCTCTCTGTTTCCTCATTACCTACCTCTTCATGCAGGACCTGTTGGACTTGTTGTACAGAAACTAAAGAAGTTGTGATTTTTACCCGTTTAGTGGTACCAGTTTTCAGGCCTACAGTAGCCTAGGTAGCCCACGCGCGGTGCATGAACTTTTAACAGAACCAAAAATCA